AAACCCAAGTAGGAGAAACCCTACCTTTTGAAGTGTAAAGAACACGTAAGGAAGCTCCAAGACTTCAACTCGAACTCTAATCCATGCATTCCCAAAAATCTTATTTTTCAACCTTTGGTGAAAACCCTCATTCTTGGTATGTAGGCATAACCCTTGACGAAGAGATCGAATTTAACTCTTGACCCGAGTGGATTTGAGCACTCAAACTTCCTAGATCGTAGAGAGAAGGTGGAGTTTTCTCTCACTTTCCTTCTCTTTTCTCTCAACGTTGAAGGCGGGCTGAAGAATGGGGAAAAAAAAATCTGATTTTCCCCCTATTTATAGTCTTCGAATACTTGGCCCATAACGCGTCACACAGACCTCTTTTTCTTGGGTCCTTTTTCATCCCAAAACTATTAAATTTCACCCCAGTTTAAGTTCAAATTAATTTTATTTTAATTTACCTTAAATTATTTCTCAAAATTTGAAATTTTATCAAAAATCTCGTTTTTGGGTCACCCGAGACTCGACTGCCTCGTAAAGTGCGAAGAATCCGACTATCTTGGAATTCGATGAAATTTGACATGGTAACTAGATTTTGCGAGACGGATCCAACGATGAGGTCCGTTTTATCATTTGAGATCTAGAAAAATTCAGGTTTTCAACCCGTACTGTAGCAGCAATTTACCGTTTTGCCCTTTTTGTAAAAAGTTTAAATTTACCGGGTTTTACATTTTTCTATTTCATTTTTATTGTGTTTTCTATAACTAAGGAACAATGAAAAAAAACAATGTGCATCTAGGCCAATACTCTCGCCTCACCTATCCCTTGAGCATATCATCTACCTTAGTTGACCCGAGAACAATCAACATAGCCGATGGGGTGAGCCTCTCATAGTTCTCTCTCCTGACCCATATTTGTTTTACATCCCATGTCTTCCAATTACTAGGATAAGAAATGTGTGGAGGACAAAGTCTATTCTCTCCAAGTGTGTCCAAACAATGTGTGAACTAACTTTCTTTCTAGGCTTGTAGGTTAAACAAATGAAAAATGGAATTTTTGTCTCACAATCTAAATATGCAAGAGACCTAGTTAAAAATTTTGGGTTAGAGTTAGCCAAGTACTTACATACTTTGATGAATGCTAGCAACGAGTTGAGTAAGGACACTTGCCAGCAAAAATGTTGATCATACAGTATATTGTAGCATGATAGGTAGCCTACTCTATCTCGATGCAAGTCGACCAGGCATTGCCTTTAGTGTTAATGTATGTGCACGATATTAGTCCTGGCCCAAGGTGTCACACTTGCTTGCTGTATCATTCGTTACGTAAGTGACACTTTAGGATATGGTATTTTGTATACTTTTGAGACTAATGCCGAGATTGTTAGATATTATGATACCGATTGGACAGGGAATGTAGATGACTGTAAGAGCATTTTTGGTAGCTATTTTCACATTGGAAACAACTTGGTATCTTGGAAAAGTAAGAATTTTTTTTATATCACTTTCTACTACCATGGCTGAGTATATTACAATAGAGAGTTGTTGCATGTAATTGTTTTGGTTAAAGCAAATATTTTTTGACTACGGGATACCTCATGGTACCTTGACTGTGTATTGTGATAATTCTGGTACCATAAACATCTCCAAGAATTCCGTTCAACACTCTAGGACTAAGCACATTGATATATGTCACCACTTCATTCGTGAGCTTGTCAAGAGCAAGGTGGTATCATTAGAATATGTACAAACTCAAGAGTAATTAGTTGATCTTCTCACAAAACCCTTGGATGCACCTAAATTTGAGAGAGTTAGGAAATCTATAGGTATTTGTGCACTTGAGTGAATGCTTGAGGAGCTTAGCCCTACGAGCATTAATTAAACATGATGCAATAGGGACTAAGTCATGTATGTATATATTTTTCTTTGTTTATTTTGATTTGTTTTCTATATGAAAAAAAATTCAAAAACAATAGAAATTTGAAAAACCAAAAACAAAAGAAATTGAAAAATCTAAAAATAGTTTTGATGTCAAATTTGACATTCGTTTTTAGGATTTATGATAATAACTTTATTTGTTTTTTAATTTTTAATTTTCATATTTATTCATATTTCTCTTTGAATTTGTTTATTTGAAAAATACAAAAACATTAGAAAATAAAATAAAATAAAATTCTTTCATTTATTTTTCTTTGTTATTGATCATATTAATTCATACTTTGGTTTGCATCATAATGATTCCACTTTTAAATCAAAGTTGTAACGTGCATTGCTATGAGTCATATTACGGGATAGAGAATGTAGTAGCATAAATTTTATTGTTTGATTCATGAGTCAAAGTCTCTTTCACCCTAATGTGCTTCAAATAGTGTTTACCTTTAAAAAATTCAAAACTAAGTATATGTCAATCATTCACCTTCATATTTAGGTGTCTTATTAGTTTGAAATATTAATAATCTTAAGTGACTCTAAGTGTTAGTGATAGGTAAACATATGACTAAAAGTTAGTTAAACTCAAAGGTCAATTGTGTGAAAAGAGTCGAATTTGGTCAATCATTAAAAGGTAATGCATAACTAAATGGTTAAAAACTATTGTAGTTGAATTATTGAGAATACTTATGCTTAATTCTTATTGCTTATATGTAAAGCTCATAGAGCTCATGCTACACATGTTTAGAAGGATATTGTTAAAGTATATAATTTACAATCGTGTTAATTAAAGCCATAGAGAAGAAGGGAAAAAAGAAATAGGGCGTTGTCTAAAAAAAAAAATCATTAGGATACTCACTAACTGGTCATGGATTCATTTAGATGATGCGTTAGGATTTCATGTTAAGCTTGTTAATAATTTGAACTAAGCAGAATCCTAATTGTATTAGAGTTTGGTTTCACAAACGCTGCACTAGAATTAGTCCGATTTGAATAAAATTTGAACACGTGTGAGTGAAATTAAACAAAGTGAGGAAATATTGCTCTAAGATGCATGAAATTGAATTATATATTTCGTAATATGCCTTAGAGTAATATAATGAGATGATGAAATTTGGATGGAGATATTATAATGTGAACTTGTGTAATTTTAATGATTAATAACTTGGTGCATTTACACGATAAATTGAAAATTACATTATATTTTGTTCCAATTTCATCCATGCATTTGCATTTAGTTGCATTAAGATTTTATATACATCCATGCATGAGTTTTAGGTTGTAGAAGTAGTTCAGAGTCATTGCAAAAGTGTTTGACTTCCTTAGGCCATCCAACCACTACTTTTGATATATTGAACTTCTAAGAAAGAAGGAGTCTGAGTCACTCCGATTTAGGCTTTTGGATCACATGCATCCACTTGAGCAGTTTTAGAGACTTTAGTTTATGCCATATGGGATTTTAAGTGTTTATTATTCATTCGTGGTTTGTACAAAAGTACTCTATTTTTTTTGTTCATTTTTCTATTTACTGACTTTTTATTATTTTGTTTTATTTTTCCTTTGTTGTGACAATAGTCTTGGTCCTATTTATAGATGCTTTATCATATTAGACTTTGAGTTATATGTCTTGTTTTTCCTTTGCTTACTTTACATGCATGATTTAGCTAGTTGCTATGTGTTTATGTTTTCTTGTTATACCATGATTCTATGCCATACTTGTCATATATTGTCATTGAGTTGACATTTATAACAAATAAGAAAAGAATATATTGGATAACTTGATTCTGTATCGTACTTGTCATATGTTGTCATTGGGTTGACATTTGCGATAAAAGGGAGAGAATATTTTAAGTACTTATGAGAGGAATTACTCTTAACTAGTGTAGGTATGTTGCATGTGAAAATAGTAAGGGAGAGTTTATTCTTATACCCAGGGGGTTGTTTGTTTCGGGGATTAAATTTAGGTGGTATAAGAGTTTATATCCATTCCACTTCAATCCAATGGTATAGTATATCCGGTCTTAAATTATAATCCCATCCTTCCCCTTGTTTGTTTGTCACACATATTATCTGTATAATATCAACTTAAAAAAGTCAATAATTGCAACTACCAATGTAAAGATACAATTTTAACCTTATAATCCAATGCAATCAATGCCCTTGTTTGTTTGTACAACCACATGTTCATGAATAAAACCAAAATAATGGAATTTTTTTTTGTTACCATGTCCTGTGTATGCCCTGTTGAACCTGTTTCCAGGTAACACACACACACACACACACACACACACAAAACACAGACACAGATACATACGAACTTGGCTAAAAAAAAAAATTCCACCAACATTTTTGTTTATGTGCCACATGATCTGAATGCACTGTTGAACTTGTCTCTCAAGTAAGTCACTCAGTCACACACACATAGACCAACATATCATAGAAAAAAAAAACTCCTTCAAGCAATTGTTCACGGTCCTCCAGGTAACACACACACACAGACAAAACACACAGACGAACATAGCCTTAAAAAAAATAAAATTTGACAGTATCATTTTTTACATTGTTACACGTGATCAAACTGCTCTGTTGAACCTGTGTCCCAGCTAACTCACTCACTCACTCACACACACACAACACACATATGAACATTTCATACAACCAAAATTACTAATTACTCTTCAAGCAATTGTTCACTGTCAGATGACAATTCTATCACCATTGGAATTTCAGAAAAATTTTCCACCATTCCTGATTCACCTGCCAGCAGTACACTATAATTCCATTTTCAAAAAAGAAACTCAATGCACAACACATCAATATGCATACTGCCACTAACATATGTACTATCATTCCATTTGTAAGGAACTAAGAGCTGTTTTCCTTTGCCTTACCAGTTTGCTCCACAAAAAAAGGTTATAACATCCACCATAAATTTAATTACATGCATAATATAAACAACATTCTCAAAATATGAAACTCCTCATGACTCTTGAACAACAACTACTACCACATGCAATCATACCCAAAAAAACAAAATGGCATGTGGAAAGCATATTTTACATACAGTCATAATCGGACATGGGAGCAAACTTAATCAGAAAGTTTGATAATATCTATGTCCTGTGCTGGATCACCACTTGAGCAGGAGCCCACACTTTCAATTAGCTCTTCCGGGGATACGTCGTCGAAAACCTCCATCATTTTTTCAAACAAAGGACATGGATCAATGCAATGTCTCATTGCAAACTTGTTTGCCTGCACGTTCATAAGATTATATTTTTGAATATAGTTTTCACTTAAACACTTACCAGTAGGTAGTCACGCGCTCCAGCGATCGGCCCATCGATGACACATGAAGATGCTGAGTCCCACGCAAACATCCTTGTCTTCAACATAGCTTTTATACTGAAGTATTGCTTCTTCCAGAAAATTATGATCTTCACAAGATCATTTTGATCAATGCAAGTTACATGTAGTCTCCTTTTTAGTCGGTGTAACAAATCCCTGAAGTGTGGAGCTGTCATTCTGCCTCGTTCAGGAACTATTCCCCGTTGTTTGTTTCAAAGAAACAACGTCATCAACACTTCACTTTCCGTAACACTAATTTGAGGAACCGACATTTTGCTACATAATTTTGTGCAAACCAAATGCACAAACCATTCACACAACACCAATTTATACAAATTCATTAAACAATACTACATCACAAGCTCAACACATATATATCAATTACAATAGAAAAATATTGTAATTTGTTACCCATATTCAGAATACATTCCGTAGTTAATATCAAAACGTAGGAGGTAACATTACAAACACTAACCATAAATAATGTCCAAAAGGTGTCAAACAATATACAAACATAGTTCAAGAGAGTCTACCCAGGAAAAAGTAAAGCAAATGGGTTATTACCATACCCAAAACAAACATCACAATATACATGAGATAGTTACCGACATTACGGTATCTCTCCACCTCGCAAATGTGCCCAACAACTTCTGGGGTTGCTAGAGGAATGTCCATTGCATCTTCCCCACGAACATTATTCGAAGGTTGATTTTCATGGACAAACACTTCACATTCACGTTGGACATCTCTTACTACATCTTCATTGTCAATGTACGTGCGCAATGCATTTTCAGCCTCATCGTACAAATCATAAGACTTGTACAACGCACTCGGGTATCTATTCACTTGCACATGACATTCTTGTCATGTCGTATAGATACCAACTTATCTTCTAACAAAGACGACATAAAAACGGGTTTTCCTGTTCATCACTTGTCTAACTACACACGGGTTAGTACATTTCTACGCATGTGCATACCAATATAAAAAGCAAGTGTTAATAAACATAGAATATCTTCATTATGCAAATACGGCTAAGTTGTTGAAACTTCATAATAAACATCAACCCAAAACATAGTTAAAACATATTTTACCCTTACTTACATTGGTGAACAATCAAAAAAAGTGGTTGATATATCATGTCACTTTATCAAGTCTTTATGACTAAGTTCACATATTTCATGCTCCACCAACAAAAAGAATTACCATACCTAAACCTACTTATCTTTGGTAATTCGATCCGGACAACAACTTCCTTACCCAAGAAGACTTTAAAGTGTCAGACAAGCTAAACAACAAGTCAACCTTAACAGGATCAGATGCAATTCTATAACCAGCCTCAAATAGTAGATCCTCGTCAAGCCACCCAACTTTCTCAAGCTCAGTAAAGAATTTTCTCCTTGCCTTAGAAATATCTTGGGCATGGCCTACCCGCAGTGCAATATTATCAAGCTTACGACCACAAGTAGTAACATAATCACCTAACACCCTTGTCATATCACCCAAGCTACCTGAAATGACTTCGGCAGGTGTCGAAGCCTTTCTCTTCTTCATTTTTTTGGTGGTAGGGGTGTCTGTGGAAACTTTCATACCTTGAGTAGTACTATTACTTGCGTCAACCCCATTATTTTCATAGTTAATGTCTGTCGAGTCAAGTTCATGGTCTGCATTGTCATTGTCATTCCCTCCAACCATTTCATCAACATCCTTAGCAAATTCTCCGGTTGCGCAATCTTTGCCAAAAATAATTCCCCAATCTTTGTAGTATGGCCAACATTTTTCTCGCATCCCCTTAGCCTGCTTATCTTTCTACAACAATTATACCATGAAAGAACATGCCTCGAATAAGTGGAGTGGAGTAATACGAAATAACAAAAGACCTATATTAAGTAAAAACTGGTATATTAGACCAAATTACCTTTAAATACTCCTGCCAAACATCATCAGAATCAACTTCAATTTTGTTATCGGTGTCATTAAACTCGAAACCACTCGTATTCATCATAGATAGTATACAATTGTACTGCCTCTTCCGCATTTTTATCTCTGATTCAATGTGGGGTTGTGCACGAAGCGTATTGCTGCCAATTCTGTTTTCTAGCATTTGCAAATAACCGGTCCTAAATGTACCATTAGGACACTTCAGCCTTGCTGCACATAGATCCTTCAGTGCGTCTATTAGTTGTGTCTCTTCCACACTTGTCCAAATTCGTCAGGTACTTTTTTCAAGTTGAATCCCACTCATACCATGAGAGCTGCCAACACTAACCATATTCTATGCATATATATACAATACATACACACATCTATTTATCAGTCTACAACCAACATGCAATATAAAATGAATTACAATACGATAAATGTAGAATATATTGCACAATACTACACCACCAAATAAATTGTTTTACATCCATTAAGCAAACTAGACAACGTAGCAACAACATATATTAAAACATAACATCCATTGAGTTTACTAATTAAAGGTCAAAAAATAACCACTTCCCCCCTATATCTCAACAAAATTAGCTACCCATTTGCCATGCCGCGTACATTTCATTCGCCAACTGAGTCCTCCAAGCAGTCCGTGCAGTAGACGTCTCAACACTGTCAACTACATTAGTGTTTGTATTGTCATCAGTATCATTAAGAACATACTCAGGTATGTGGTCTTCTAATGGGTCAAATGACATCTCATTTCTGATGAAATTATGTAAAAGACAACAAGTAGCAATAATTCTGTTATGTGTGGGGATTGGGTAGAAACACGTAGTTCGAAGGATTGCCCATCGCATCTTGAGGAGAGCAAAACACCTCTCAATAACATTCCGGGCAGATGAATGTTTAAGGTTAAAATATTCTTTGGCATTACGAGGAGCTTCCCTTCCACTTCCAAATTCGTCAAGACGGTATGGTTGACCCTAAATGGAGCTAAGAAACCATCACCATTGGTGTACCCAGCATCACATAAATAATATGTCTGTCATAATTGTGTATACACCAATTAGTAAACAATTCCAAAAAAATACTAATGCTACAAATTTCCACCATAGCTTACCCCGTTCAACACGTAACCCAGTACGCCTTGTAACTGCATCTCGAAGGACTCGTGAATCTACCGCTGATCTCTCCCAACCAGGCAAAACATATATGATTCTCAAGTCAGTCGCACATACACCTAACACATTTGTGGCAATTTGATCCTTCCTTGTCTTATATCTTGCTTGGTGGACAAGTGACACTTTTGCTCTAATGTGAGTCTCATCTAAAGCCCCAACACAGTTCTAGGCAATATGAAATAAAAATATTATCAATTGATATTTAGATATCTACATACTACGTGACGTGACAACTCAAAATGTGGAAATACCTTTACAAAATTTAGAATACCTTAAAAAAATTCCACTTAGGGTTAGTGGATTCTTCTGTAATTGGAGTAGGGACTCCAAGCAGTAATCGGCGTAGCCTAAGAACCGCCAACAACACTACATTGAAATACTTGCTAACCGTCTCACCTGATCTAATAAAACTGAATTTTACTGGTCTATTCTTAGTATCATGACTAATAATACTCAAGAACATAGCTACCATCTCCTCAATGCTAACATTCCTTGTACGAGTCAACCCACCAACCTGTTCAACTAGTGTACACAATATAGAAAAACTTCGTCGGTTCATCCTAAGTTGATTGTAGCATGTGATATCACTTTCACCTATCAGTCTAGTGAGATGCTCTATTTGCAGTCGGGTTCACGTGACTGAGCTTGGGATGATATTTTTGTTTTGATTTTCTAGAAATTCTACCAAATTTGCAATCAC